TGATAAAGCTCTGCTTCAGCAGCAAAAGATATTATATATGTATTTTTACAGTATTATGGAAGGAAAGTTACTATTTTTGGCACAAACAACTACACCATTAACATATGTGCATTTTTCAGCACAAAGGACATGTACATGTTGTTTCAAACATAAGATCAAAGAGATGTCAAATTATATTTAAAAGTCAACAAAGTACTAAATCTGTATACAGTTTAACTCATATGAGCTAATGCTGTAGTAATTTTTTTTAAATAAAAGTCACCCATTATCATCTTTGAATTAAATTCATCAAAATTTCATGTTCTTTCAGAACCACAGGCACAGGACAATTTAAGTTAAACTTGGCACAGAGCATTCTTTAGTGTAGGGGAATAAAATTTGTTCATATGAAGGGCAGTGCTTTTATAAAGAGATCTCTTTGTTGAATGTCCTGTTCAGAGAACTTTTCTACACTCTTATTGAGATACCAGCATTTGCCAGTGGAGGTCTGCACAACACATCCCTTTGTATTTCTTGTAAAAGTATTGGTCTCTTTCTGAACTGACAAAAAATGGAGATAGTTTATCAGGAACACATTGGGATTTCTTACTATTATAATACTATCTAATTATACTGTGTAAATGTTTTTAAAGCATTTTTTTAGCTGATGATATATCAAAACACTGATATATCCGTAGCATAAAACACTTCACTAATATGATTGCATCATAGGTGATAGTATATGTCTACGAGTCAAAATATGAGGATGTATAAATTTTGTAGGTACAGTTTCAATGGTGTTGGAGAGATTACCATTGGATTATTTATCCTTGTTTATCCTTGTGCTAAACTCCAGAATCAGACTTTAAGAAAGAGTTTTTGCTGTTTGAGTCAAAGAATTAAAGAATGGTAGCAAAGTTGACATTTGAACATTTCACTTTTTGCTTATTGCTAAGATTTGGAAGACCCACTCGTTGCTTTGCAACGAGCTTTGCTCTAGTTATGATTTATATTTTTACAGTAAGGAATCTAATGTCGTGTAAGTCACATTAATTATACTATTTATAAAACATATGGAGATAACAAACAGTATTCAAATCAAAAGTAAAAAAAAATACAAAATAAGTGCAGAGCAAACACAGACCTCCAATAAATCAAAGGTGGAATCAGGTGTCATGGAGGAGTAAGCATCCCCTGCTGACCGGTCACACCCGCCGTGTGCTCCTAGTCATTATCGGGAAATAACGGGAAAAATGGTCGTCAATTCAATGTATAAATAATAAACTAACAATTAGAATGAAGAAAGTCAGTCAGCATTTGACTGAGTGATAAATTGTATTTGCCGACAAGGTCATTGTATCGACCATAAAACTTACATGATTATTACTTTAAACAAGACTGCTGATATTCTTGTTCCATCAACTTTTTTGTCAATAATTTACTTCGTTTCAGAAATTGTTCATACGTAGAGCGCGCTCTTACATCGAATCAACTGAGACACATAAACTCCGTATGCAGGTGATGAAGGTATAAAGCTGCATAAGTAAGGGAAGTTGACGATTGAATAGTTAAAGTCATCACTTTACCATAGAACTTTGTTGTTATATTACCATTAAGGTCTCTTTCAAGTAAAATATCCAAATATGAAAAAAATGTCAAACTCTGTAATATCTTTTATCTCAAGCTCACCAGGATATATCGTATCGACATAAATATGGAAATATACTATTTTTAAACTGAGGCAGCTACAGACAAATAAGTTAATGTTAAAGGTATTTAAGTAACTCGTTTAACGTAGCATACGAAGGGTGATCAAAAAGTTCGCCAACTATCACTATATCTACAAAATATCAATTCTGATTAGAGAAAATGTTGGTAAACAGATAGCCATACACATGATATATAAATAGCATATGCTGAATAAAGTTTAACTCCTTGTTTGTGACGTCACAATGTGAAAATGACGTAACTATGTAGATCACTTTTGACATAAAATGGTTGTCTCATTCGTACTCGTCCAACGAACGACTGTTAAAATTTTAGGTATATCTTAGAAACTCTTTTACAGTAGCATCTAATAATTTGTACAAGGTTTATTCAGACAAAAGAATTCCTTTAATTCAATCAATGGTTCGATTGATCGTTTTAGTGAAGAAATGCAGATGGTTAAATATGATATTTATTATGTTGCCCAGTGAAAGCAAATTTGAAAAGAGATGTGTTTTTTAATTAAGTAATTTGTTATCAAATTTACAGTTAAAAAATAGTTGAATATCTTAACAATAATATTATTAGTATATACCTAAGATATCGTTTCTTTTAGATTGTAAACATAAAAGATGTGATAAAAAGGTGGCACCCAGTGTCTATCCACCTTGAACAAACATCTCTCCCGAGACAGAAGATTTGGTTTTTATTGTCGCCATGCTCATTTTAGGAAAACATATTCTTATCCACCAATTCTGTTGCTGAGATATGGCCATTTCAGATAAATAAACTGCTCTTGTTTTAAAAATTAACTTGCATGGAAAGAAATGTAAAGCTCAGAAAAATCTTTCAGCTTTTGTGATAGAACGCTGCGGAGCGGTCACGTGACCGCTCATAACACGTGATTCGCGAATGAGCAAAACGATGGCAGATATGCATTAAAATTGGAGAGGACTTATTTAGAATACAATCAACACCGAATACATGCAAATACTTAATTCTTTAATGGAAGTTACTCAATTATTTCGCGAACTATTTGATCACCCCTCATATGTCAAAAAAAAATGTTATAATGACATTGTTATATATCAAATATAACATTATCCAAATAAATGATTTTTTGTTTTTAAAGATCTGTAATTTTAGCATTCCAAAGTAATACATGAATATTTTATATGCATGCAAGCTTTACCAATAACACATCCCATTCTGAAACTAACAGGAGTTGTTGTTGTTGTTTTTGTTGTTGTTGAAGTTAAGCTAAGATTAGTATATTTTGAGAATTTTTTATCTTACAAGTTTTGTAAGGTAAAGTAAGCTATGTAAAAACATCAATTCATTAACTGGTTCTGAAATTAATAAGACTGACTCATTCAATTTGTCAAATGAAATTCATTGAAATACATCCCTTGTCACTTTAGAACTCATTTTGCAAATTATTCATGTACAGATTAAGATGAAAATGACTCTTTTTTTTTTTGAGAAATCCTTTCTTCTAGTAATAAATGTTACGAAGTATTATCATTTTGGTAAATGTAGACCAAAAAATAGTTCTATCACTTGATATTGAAATTTCTGTAAATCTGTTTGAAATAAACTTGAAATAAATCTCCTTTACAAACAGCCATTATATATTAGAAAAGGGGAATGCTGACTTACTGTACGTCTCAGATTATACTGTTCGTTATCTCCATATCCTTCATTAATAGGATTGATAATGAGGAACCAAGACAAAGCATATCAACTGGATTTTTTCCTGTTTCAGATTCATTTGTAATGCATTTGTGATCCTTGTTATACTTTTTATGCTTCATGATCATTCAGGAAAGGTATTTGTCGAATTCCAAATGCAAATTTTAATTTTTACTTCCTTAAACACACTTTTTGGTTTTTTATTTGTTCTTTTGAGTGGTATTCAATTTGAAATATATGCAGTCACGAGTTTATATTGAGGAAATATTTTGTTGTTATCGGCTCCAAAAAAGGATTTTTAAAATTTTTGTTTCCGTATGCATCAGTAAAATGATGTGGCAGTTAACTGTCGTTCAAGGCTTTTCTCTCTGGCAAATAGCCCGTGGGTACACCAGATACTGTAAGTAAACAAAATGCAAATAAAAAAAAATAATAATACTAACTTAATTAATTTCATAAGATATACGGGTTAGCTCTGCTCTCGATTTGAATGGTTTGAATAACTTTTGAACCTTAATACAGTAATTAATGAAATATACACATTTAATATATAGAATTACTATGTGTGTGTTCTAAATGCATACATTAGACGATTAAAAAGAATTAAGGATTATATATGAGTTAAAAGAAATGTTTTTTAGAATTAAAGTATATTTTTCGTAAAACATCTAAACTTTTTTTCAATGAAGATTTATTTGAAAATAAATGCAAAGTGAAATACATGTTTTTGTAGTAAATTTTGACGGAAAATGTGATTATATCGGCACAATAGGTATTGATGATGATGAAACTTATTACCTTACATGGAATGGATCTGAATTTACTCAATCTTGTTCATATACATTCAGTCCCGGCGCAAATAATAAAATATGCGTGGATGCTCAACAGTTCTTTATTTCTGATTGTTCTGCTAAACTTTGGTATTATGGAGGACTTTTGGGAAGCGAACTAAAAAGGGTAAATATATTTATATTATTTTTGTCATCAATCATGCTTGAACATTTACATTTATCCTTTCAAAAAGAAGCATTAGTTATGAAGAAAATGGAAAGTCCACTAATGTTTGTGAGTTTCCTCAAGTTTTAACGGACACCCCTCTCCCCCCCCCCCCCAAAAAAAAATAAAATAAAATCATTTCCTCTTCCGAATATTAACATTCTTGATTGCAATATCTTAATTTTTCTTCATAAAAGAAAAATAATCCTGTCTGTATGTAATTTAATGAAATGTATATTCCTCAAACAATTAAGGAAGAAAACAAACGAATATTCCTACACTACAATCTTACTATTGCATGAAAGATTTAAATAATCAAAACAACTTATTTTGTATGTAATGTTTATTTCACAACAGACATACAGTTGTTTGGATACAATCCTGAAAAATTCTGTGGCGAGGAATTCCATTATGTCAAGATCAAATTAACAAAGTCGTCAAAAACGAATGCACTCGGAAACTTTACACTGAAAGTAACGACAACAGGACCTTTGCCAGGTATGTTTTAAATATAAATTAAGTGAATTTATACCTAGCATATAAAAAGAATATTATTTAAAGAGCAATGTTCACTGTAACACATATTTGGCCCTGTTGAAAATGAAATATCATAACTGCTCAGTATCAATTAAAAATACATAATTTTTTGAATAGACCTAAAGTGAACTTAGCTCTTCGGAGATGCACACTATAAAAAATAGTCATCTTTAGCAATTATTGCAAAAACAAATCCATAAGGCGCTTAAACTATAGATTTTTCCGGGGGTGTTATTGTTATGATATTTTTCTCCAATTATTTTTTTCTGAGTGACAATAATCATATACATTACGGAATAATCTCCAACAGTAGGTATCATTATTGGTTCTATCTTTGGTGGAATCATCTTTCTGGCCATCTTCTTCAGTGTAATAAGATGGATTTGTCGTCGGCGTCAAATCGGAAGAGTACCGAATGGAAATGGTGATCAGAGTCCAATTATTACATCTACAGGTACGATATTTGGAGACTGACAATTGGATTGTTATCATAACAATTTTAAAACTTAACGAAAACCGGTCATGGAATCCAAAAAATGAATAAACAAGCTAATTCAGAGAATTCGTGTCCCCCGCTTAGGGAAAAAGTCGGATCCCCCTGACTGAATTTGTAGAATTATTAAATGTGTACATGTATACTGAAGCAAATAAAATACATGTTTGTCAATTTGCATATAAAGATTTGATTGCTTATTCTTTATTATGTGTATAGAAGATTCTTTTTATATGGAATATTTATCACACTGTAATGATGATTTTATGAGTTTGTACAAGCCAGACCTCATAAATTTTTCATTTCACATGCTGAATACTATCATTTAGTAAAAAGAAAAGAAAAGTATTTAAATTAAAAAAAAGGATCGACCGAGATTCGATCCCGGGACCTCTCATGCGAGAGACATACCACTAGACCACGGATTCACTTTACGTAGTGTCAAGTATATGCAGAACTAAAGTCACATTCATGAATATATTCATGTTCGATATTCTCAAAATTTTACACAATCCATAGTGTTTGATTTATTTAGCCTTTATTAAACAGTTCTAATAGACGTAATAAGAATATAAAGTCCGCCGAGAACCTGTTTTATACGCAATAACTCTCCTCGTGCCCCTGTGCTAAAAATAGCGACATGTAATACTATAAATACTAATACAACAAACGGGGCGGGGCACTTTGAGAGGGATGAGAGAGGCCCTAGGGAGTTTTGGTATAAAGTTACATTGCATAAGCTCAAAATCTTCTTGAAATATCGCCCGGAAAATGATAGTGTTACACACACAGAGAATGTATTAATTTACGACCTTGAACTTTGACCTTTTGACCTCAAAATCAATAGGGGTCTTTATTAGGCCACAAGGAGTTGCTATGTAAAATTTCATTGCAATAGCTATGGTTCTAGAGATATCGTGTGGAAACGAAAGTGTTATAACAGAAAGAATTTGCTTATTTATGACCTTGACCTTTGACCTTTTGACTTCAAATTCAATAGGGGTCTTTTTTAGTCCATAGGAAGTTGCTATGCTAAATTTCATTGCAAAAGCTTAAAGGGTTCTGGAGATATCGTGTGGAAACGAAAGCGTTACAGACAGACAGAAAGACGGACGGACGGACAAACCCAAATTAATATCCCCCACTTTTCAAGCGGGGGACAATAAATATCACCGGGTTCACAGGTGCGTGAAAGTCAGTCAATATATCGGGTCTCAATGGATCAGGGTTTAAAGCGCTGACATGGTACGCCAGAGGCCTCTTCGAGTTCCGGTTGATCACAAATTTTTCAACACCTGTGACATTTGGCGCCAAACGTAACAAAACCCACTATTCCCTAGGAGCATGCTTCATGCATTTTCGTAACTCATAGAATTTGAGGACAAAATTCAACGATGAGGGGAAATTGTCACCTGGTTCACAGGTTTGAAAGTCAGTTGATGAAGGAGATAACGAACAGTAATCAATCTCAAAGTCCATAAAACAATACAAAATAAGAGCAGAGCAAACACGAACCCCCGAAACATCAGAGATGGGATCAGGTGTCATGGAAGAGTGAGCATCCCCTGCCGACCGGTCACACCCGCCGTGTGCTCCTTGTCATGCTGTGGAAATAACGGAAAAATCTGTCGTCCATTCAGTGTAAAAATAATGGAATAACAATTAGATGAAAAACGTCAGTCAGCATATGACGTAATGATAAATTGTATTTGCTGACAAGGCCATTCCACGACATGTGGATTAAAATGATTACCCAGTTTTATGTTAACGCCCCCAAAATGTACCTGATTCAAGATAAAAAATTCACCGCCTGTCAATCATTAAAAAACAATAGCTTTTGATTTGATTGACAGGTCAGCTACGTGTACCTGTGCTTCCTGATAATCTGAGTTTGTATGTTTTGAAAACAATTACCTGGTCACGCGTCATACTCTTTCATGTACCCGCATAGTATACACGCGGGTTAGAAAACTCCAATATGTTTGAATTTTATTTAAAAAAATAATTGAAAGTAGATTATTAAAGCATTGACATTATAAAATTTTTCTTTTCTATCTTCACTGCTGTTTGTTACTTGTAAGTGTTATATCGTCCACGTTATCTGTAGAAGACCGCGTATTACAGAAACCTTGTTTGCCGTAATTGGAAGTCCGACGATTTAAATTATTTTTTAAGAAATATCCGATCTCGATAGCTCAGTGGATAGACCTCTGGCATGGTACGCTGGAGGCCCTTGGTTCTAGTCCCAGTTAAGACTGATTTTTCACCACCTGTTGAGATAAATAAAAATGAATTAAAGAATAATGAAATTTAGAGTAGTTTAGTTGTGTGCCAAGTAATACTGAATTTAAGATAAAACTGTCGGAAAACAAGCATGATTAAAATAAATATCAAAAACATTTTTTTAAATGACCATGGCACGAAAAACAACAGTAATTTGAAAAAAATGAGTCTATGTTTTAATACAGATCACTTGTAATTTGTGTTTATTTTAATACATAGTGACTCTCCATCCACCACCACAACATTACGGCACAACGTATCCCGGCAGAGAGCAGAACAACACAACTCCACATCCTTATCCAAGCGCTGTCCAGAACAACCATTATCCTATCGATTATAACATTCAAACTTCATATCCGACTAAATAACGTTCGTAATGCCCAGGATATTATTGATACGATGATTTAGCCACCCTCGGGTGTTTAAAATGTTCAACTCGCCGTTCGGGCAAAGAGAATATTGCTCTCCGTTTATCATTGTATTTACCTCAAAAAGAACAATTATTGTATATATGTGTTATAGAAGGTCGTTTCTTTTGGTTTTATTTATTTAAGATGCATACTATGTATGATTCATATTTGAAATAGCTTTATTGATATATTTTAATGCTGTGCATCCGAGAATATATTTGATAACCTCGAATATTAATCTAACAAAGTAGATTTATTGTCCTTAGCATAAATTTAGAGCTCCATGGAAAATCCTATTAAAATATTTAGATGGGTATTTATCTTTATGCATTGAGACAAGCCATTCAATTGAGCCTCATTTTCCGTTGGAAAATATGTGTATGTTAAGTGCTGTATGATATGTTATTTAATCATCTCACGTTTTCCTTTTGTTCTATGATTTTTTTTGTTAGATTTGTCTGTTTCAAGCAACAGCAAATTTAAAATAAAATGTTCTTTTTGAAGAACAAATAAGTTAAATTTAGTCATAAGAACGTCCATAACATTGTTGTTCATATATGCGCCAACTACATTTTTGTTCGAGAAATGTTTTGAATTTAATTGCAATATAAACATTTTGTTAAATTTGATAATTAAGATGTATGTACATTAAACAATCATTGGTTGTTTTCAAGCAATGTACATAATTTTAGAAAATAAAACTTTACAAATTAAATGACCATTATGTATGTTTTTATTTGAGATACGCAGGAACATTCTCTATGTATAAACAATTTCTAAAACGAGGTAAATTATTGACAAACAAGTTGATGAAACAAGAGTATCAATAGTCTCGTTTAAAGGCATCATTTTGTAAGTTCAAGGTTCGATACAATGACCTTGTCAGCAAGTTCAATTTATCATTGACATCAAATCCCGACTGTTTGCATGATTGTTATCAGCATTCCTTATACATTGAATTGTCGACAGATTTTCCGTTATTTTCCGATAATTACAAGTAGCACACGGCGGATGTGACCGATAGACAGGATATGCTCATTTCTACATAGTACCTGATCCCACCTTTGATGTTTTGGAGGTCTGTGTTTTGTTTAATTGGGGCTCATATTTGGTATTGTTTGATGAACTTACATGAATTCTTGAACATTGTTCGTTAGCTCCATATGTTTCATTGAAAAGAAATTTGCACACGTCTATCAGTGTGTAGATTTGTTCAAGTGTTGACATAAATATAGTTCCTTGTTTTGTCAAAACAGCGTTTTATATGCGAAGGTATTATACATCTTATCTGTATAGTAAACAGACTCAATGTGAAGACAGCAATCGTTATATTTGATCTTCAGTATTAAACATGTATAAATTCATATAAACCTGCGTAAACAAAAAGTTATTCAAACATTTTTTACCTGAGGAGATAATAATTTTCGTTCTAATGGATTTTATTAGGGAAAAAATTATGTCATGACTGATAAAAACACTTTTAATGCCAATCCAAATCAACTCCGCTGGTTAGGTCCCCAGTAGGATTGATTTGTGAAAAAAAAATTTTGAAAAGCAGGCCATTGGGAAAGAATTAAGATTTCAAGCATCTCAGTGTGCACATCAAATACCTTCCCCAAACGGAGGGAGATAATATACACTGTATATATACTGGAAATATATGAAAATATTTTGAAATTTTCTCTATCAAAGCTGGACTATGATTAGTGATATTGATATGTAAGAATGCTTTTCCAGTAAATTGAAGATGTGTGGAATCATGACCACTGGTATATGAGGAGTTACTATGGTGTCTAACGTTTTCCCTACTGCAGTTAACATGTACTGAGAAGTAAATTTCTGTCTTGTTGAAAACAGCTAGGTCTTTAAAGGTGCTAAATACATATAACGACATTAATCGATGTCGTATAAATGGCAGTGATATATTATTGCTTAAGATTACAGTAATTTCACAAAACATATTTTTGGTGCATTAAACAAATTATGAATATTTAATTTCTTTAAAACTGTCAGGGACAGATACCTGTTTGTTCTACAATATCTACATCTTTGATTGTCTCTGGTCATGAAATGATCAATCTTTTTTATAAAGGGGTTATTTTAGACCCTTCAAGAGCCTTTCAATGCTTAAAGGAACACTTTGGGATTGTGTCCAGTTATTTTTGAATTTGAACATCACTAATCATGGAGAGTGATATCAGCATTAAAGTATTACGCTAAATTGAAGTTCAAAAGCTACATGTTACATATAGAAGTAGCGATCTCAACGAAGGCATTTTTGGTAAATGGATAAGTCCAATTTTATAAAGATTAAAATGAATGTTATTAAAAATCTGCAACTAAGATTTCTCCCTGGCAGTTGCTTTTTTTCCAAAATAAGATCTTGCAGAAAAGAGAGAACTGTTGAAAATCAATATTGGAAACATTAATTCTTGGTTAAACCATAATTTAAAAAAATACCCCATATTTTGTAGACAACTGTTACGGAAGAAGAAAAGAGGAATTTCAAAATAATTTAATATTTCCTAAATATCTTGGTTCTCTGATTCGTTATCAACAAATTTCCTTAAACTTGAAAAGGAAGATTGTTAAGGATAAGTTTCTCAACATTTCATAGCATGCAAAAACATTTTAATTGGACAGATTGTAAAAGTAGGGCTTCCATTTGTCAGAATTATTAATTAACAAATTTTCAGTGATAATGCAAACTCCTTTGATATTGATATAATCACTAAGCATATTTTTTTTTTAAATGCAACGATATCTTGTTAAGCTTATCTTTATCTGTTGCCAACAAAAATATTTGTTTTTCAATAAGCAGTCCCGTAATAACATAAATTATAACGGGCTCACCATTTCCGTATCAAATGGAAAAAAACAAGCAATAGATTAGCTTTTAAACGACTTCCTCTCTGTCAGGGAGGCTAAGATTAACCAAAAGCTTATACTTTCCTTCTATATCCCAATACTTCCTAAACCTAAAAACAGTCTTGATCAAACACTTGGAGAGGCATGTTGACGATATGCGCTGTGGCTCTTTTGTTCTATTCTACTGAAGCGTTGCAGAATTACAGCTTTGGTGACCCACGGGCTTGCAATATCGAAACTATGAAAGTAAATTTTATGTTTGAAGTCCTGCCTGGATTTGGTTGGGAAATCTTGAAAATGAAAATCGAGGAGTAGGGGTCAATTTTAACTATTCAAAATGCAAAACAACCGAATTCTTTGAAAATACCTTATTCTCTGCGTCGTAGCTATTCCTATCAAGACAAGTCAGTAAATATCTTCTTGAAGGTATATGATCACTGGTCTCAATATTTTCAGACACAGCATTTTCTATAAATATCAGTGGTTCAGCTAGTATCGCAGGAGTCAAAATTGCTGCAAGTTTGTCCACTGAATATGAACAATGCATTAATTCTTTTAAAATCTTCTTCTCTGCTCCTGAGTATTAAATAAACTAATTTAGTATATAGTTATGATAAGCAAGAGTGCCTCTTCCAAAATTGTGAATTTAATGGCCCCAGGGTCATGGGTTCTGGTGTTAGGGTGGGGTTCTATTGATTATGTAGTGAAAATACATTAATTCTTTGAAAATCTTTCCTTTGCTCCTGGGTTTTATGCCAATGATCCAAGTATATATATTTATGATGAATAAAGGTGCATCTAGCAAAATGGTTATTTTTGTATAACCCCCTGGGTTCGGGGGTGATGGGGAGGGGGTATAAAGTCTGAAAATAAATTAATTCTTTGAAATCTGCTCTTTGGTATTAACCATTTTATGATAAAATATGCAAAATTTTGTAATATGTGGCCCCAGGATCAGTGGTTCCTTTGGGATGAGGTGCACAACTGGTTATAAAGTGGAAGTGCATTAATTTTCTCTTAATGTTACTCTGATCTACCTCTGGGTATTAAGTAAATAGAGTAAGCATGCTAAGTCTATTATTATGATAAGCAATGGGGTCTCTTTCAACATTGTGAATTGCAAATTTCATGGCCTCTGTTTTAAATCACGAACCAAATTTAATTGTTTGAAAGTTGTTGCACAATACTCAGGTGACCTATAAGGCCCGTGGGCCTCTTGTTTGTTTATTATAAACATGTACTAAATTTGATTAATGATATAGAAAATTAAAAGAAAAAACATTTTATTTTTTGTAGGATTTTAATTTTTTATTTGGTTTTCTTTAAAAAAATGCTGACATGAGGCTAAACAACAAACGAGAAAAATTTGCTGGATCTTTTATAATATATGTACAGGTAAACTTCTTTATCTCTACATCGGCGGAACAATCGGGAAATGTCGAGATATCCGAGGTGTCGAGATATCAGAGTTAAGACTCGACGTCCTTAATAATTTTGGTAGCTTTTTGTAAAACATACGTACACGTTTTCAATACACTGTAGATTGTTTGTTTCAGCTATTCCTCTATATTTAATAGAAATTCTGAGAAAATATATATAAATTTAATGAAATGAAATGCTTCCCTTTCAATGTAAATCTTCTAATTTTACTAATAAAAGTTTTCCAGCTAGCATTCCGCGTGCAACTTGCTTTGTCAGAACAGGATACGAAACGTGCTCTATAAACTCCAAACCGTAATTGTATAAAATCGATGATACGCAAAAAAAAAATTATGCGTATTTTTCAAAATTATTTGACTTTACTAATTTTTATTTCATGATCATTCATAATTATTTTTCATTTTATTTTCAAATCAAAATTTTAAAGGATTTGCCTTGATGAAGAAATTCTCCAATAATGATACGTAACACATGATGATTCAGGAATGTCTAAAGGTGCCACATGCATAGGCTCTCAGTTGGGGGGGGGGGCTTACAACTGCTATTTGCCTGGTATTAAATATATACTGTAGTATAGACATTTAACATTGTATGAGAGTTTAATTGATTTTCCCCCCACTTTGATAAGTTTGCAGTATGCTTTAAAAATGGGGAAAGTGGTTTTTGGTGTTTGAACAAAAAATTCA